TTCTATAAATAAACTGTGAGGCTTTAAAGTTCCAGACCACGATAATCAGTAGTGAAAGTAAAAGTATTTTGTTTTCAGTATTCAAGTTTCCAGTCTTCGAGTAGCAGTGTTATCTCTCCCTTTGTTGTTACAATTGTTGCAATTTTCTTTGTTCTTTTGGTATCTTTTAATATTCCAAGTTTAAAAAGGTCAAATTCTTACATGAAATAGAGAAGAAAGAGTAAAAGGCACATGTGGTGATGAATAAGGAAAAGTTTAGTCCATAAGTTGTGAAAATAATAGTAACAATTATAGAAGAAAACTTGATACATTCATTTCAAACGGTTTGCATAAATTCCATCCACAAAAATAACGTTTAAAAATTAAGATAACACACTGACCAAAACCATCCAAAGCTTAATTCCGACACTTATTTCTTTTATTCTTAGATTTAAATTAGCTTTAAGTTTTTTATAGGGTTTCTTTTAAAACGGATAAAAATTCCTCACCAGCTGTAAACACTTTCACTTCCGTTTTGGAGCCGTACCTACTTCATCAACCTGGGGGCTGAGCTTTTAACGCCAGCTAAAAGACCTTCTCCTGGATCAATCAGGGACTTAGCGATGTCCCTGTGATCAGCAGAACGTAGTCTTCCTGTTCACTGTCTCTACGGGACAGTTTAGATCCGATTGGATCACCCAGCGATAAAAGTATTGGTGGCGATCTCGGAGCATCGAGATCGGGTGACCATTTCGTAGCGACGTAGGCTCCTCCTAAATCTCTATACTTTTAAAGCTCTTGTCTCTGTAACCCTTAACTAGACAAAACAGTGCCTCCTGGGGCAAATTTTTTTGAACCAAGGTACCTCAAATGGACCGTTTTACAGAATGCATCCAAAATCCTCAACGTGCGATTTCTGTGGAATTGAAATTTGGCAAATTTTATAAAACATTTTATGACATACAAAATGTCATAAAACCTTTCTGGTGGATTTATGATGCTTCACTGTGCTATACAGCAGTGATCCCCAACCTTTATGGCTTGGCGGCCCAGCAGGGCGGGAGGGGGAACCAGCCCACACAAGCAGTGGGCCGTGTGCATGCTGGCCTGTCGCTCACACAAGTTGAGCGCCAGCCTATTACTCGCACCAGGCCATGTCCTGGTAGTGGGCCACGGTCCAGGGGTTGGGGACCTTTGCCGTGCAGTTCAACATGGGCTACTTTCAAGGCAGCTACCTCTCTGAATATTTCCCTGAATTTATAACTTTCAAGTACATTAGAAGTTCTGTCATGGGTGAAGGCACTAAGAAATCATCTGGTAACGAAATATCTCTAAAATGGTTGTCTAGTTAGAATGATAACTCTCTTTTTTTTTCTTCCCCTTCAGGAAAACGCCCCAAGAAGGGCTTAGCGACAGCCAAGCAGCGACTGGGACGCATCCTGAAGATCCATCGCAATGGCAAGCTACTCCTCTGAGTGCATCCCCATGTCAGCTCCAGACCACATGCCCAGCTCTTGGGCAGCAGAAGTTGGGTGAGGCACAGAGACCCACTTGGAGGCACCGCCTGGTGTCTTTGGAGGGCTAACAGGACCTTGGGCGTGCAGACAAGGCCTGCGCTACTCTACCTCTCCTTCCCTCACATGGATCAGAGCCAAGTCTGAGCTGCCTGTGTTACTGTTGGGAGCTTTCTCGATTGGCGGCACCTGAACACAGAGGCGAACCGTACCGGTTTCCCTGAAGAGACAGACAACGTAGGAAGCGGGGGCTTCGTTGTGCCCGCTGATTCTCCATCCCTACCTCGACCCGCTGCACTTCCTTTTTTTTTTTGTTTTTTTTGTTCTGGGGCTGATACCTCTTTTCGAATGTTCCCTTCCCTCTGTCAAGTCACACCTTGTCTTTTCCTCCTAGCAGCTTCAAATGCCCTTTGTATCTTTTGTTGCTGTTGGCAGACCCTGGCATGCCAAGGAGCGCTTCTTCTTCTTTTTTTCTTTTCTTTTCATTACTTTTTAAAAATGCTTTTCCCAGCAGAAAGTAGCTGCTTGTTGTTGTTTTTACGCAAGCAGAGGGTTTCTTTGCAATCTTCAAGAACAGCGTTCCTCAACTTTCGAGATGAGTGGACTTCAGTGGTGGGTTGCTCATCCCGTTCCAAACGGAACGGGGCTGGCGGCGTCCTCGTGCACGCGCGCAGTTCACACGTGCATCTTAGCGCCTGCGCGATGCTCCAGCTGCTCACAGAGAATCACGCAGGCACTGTATGTGCCATGCGCCTGCGTGGAAGCGCAGAAGCCTTCAAAGACCGGTAAGGAGGGCGGGCGGGTGGGCCCTTCGGCATTCCCGGAAGTTACTTACTTCCGGGTTCACCGACCAACCGGTCCGCGGGGACCACCACGAACCGGTTGAAACCCACCCCTGGTGGACTTCAACTTCCAGAATTCTCCAGCTGGCCCTACTTTTGGCTGGAGAATTCTTGAAGTTCACCCATCTTAAAATTGCTCCGCTTGAGATAACGCTATTCTAGAAAGATCCTTCCAAAACCTGGAAGGGCAGGAGAGGAACCATTTGTTTTACTAAGGGAACTGGATGCTTCCCTGTTCTTCAGCCGTCAGGGATTTGTGGATGAAGTTGGCAGATACTGAAAATAACTCCCTCTCCATTGAGAGAATTTTGAAACTTCCAGTCTTTTGGCAGCAGGGAATCATTCATTCATCATACTTTGTGTTATCCATCCAAAATAGAGAGCCTCTCAAGAGATCTGTGTCTCCAGAATGCAAAAGGGAAGGGCGGTCTAATGTGTTATAAAAATTTTTGCAGCGTGTACAAGAAGACAGTTGAGGTAGAAGGCTACGTGAGCGGCCTCCTCCCTAATTTGCCTATCTGTACATGCAAATGTATCTTAAATGGGTGAACATCCCAGCTCTCTCCAATCGGTAGTTGGAAACCGTTCAGGCCAGCATCTCTTGCCAGATAGGGCTGCCAACCAAGAGATTCCATGTGAAATACTAGCAGATTCTTCCTGCTCCCGATGTGAAGTTTTCCAGGAGGCTTCACAGCTGTTCCTGTTGCAGATCTCTCGTTTTGTTAATTCCAGGGCTTTTTAAAAAATTATTATTTACATTCTTGGCATAAGGCAGTCTGTCCTCCCTTCTCTTTCTCCTTCTCCTCCCCCTTCTATGGCGGCAGGGAGGGCGTCATGCCCCCTAAGTAAGACTTAACAGATGTTTCTACCCAGCAGCACAGCTCAGTGAATACAGCTGTGTATCATATTTTTACACCAGACTCCAGCAAGCTTTGTGTAAATGTTTTGAATTCTATTTTTTAGGCCTCGCTCTAGAAATGTGTGTTTAAGGGGGAGAAAATTATATATATATATATAATTTATATACAATTATATAAAATTATATATATAATTTTTTTCCAGGGGTTAGAATAAAAGAAAACCTTCAGTTTATTGTAGCATATGCCTGAGATATATTTTTCTGATTCTGTTCTTCTAGGAACTAATGCTTTCACTGGAATCTGGGAGAACTTGCCCACAAAATTTGTTTTTCTGGAGAGCCTGATACCGAAATACAGATATAGCAGTTTCTTGCACAAGAGTTACTACAGGGGGTGCAGCACCCTGACCAAGGCATACATTCTACATATAGTTTTTAAGGGGGGGGGGCATTATGCACAGCTTTTTGTTTTAAAGAGGGCTGTGCTGAAAGGAGTCACCACTGGGGCAATTATTTCAGGAATGCTATCTAAACCTTTTTCTTGGGGGGGGGCAGTTTTTTTTGCCAATTGGGGGGAAAATGTGATCCTAAATTGCTATAGCATCAAATCACCAAATTGAACGTTCGCCCATTTAATTATTTTAAACTGACACTCCTTGGTACTATTCCTGAAGTGTGCCTCACAGGGATCTCACGTGGGATTTCTCCCTGCAAAGTGTCACAAGCCACCTTTTGTTCAGAATTGGCATTATTAATGGTCTGCTGATTTTTTCGATGCACAAAATTAATACCCGAAAGTTAATTTTATCAAGCAAAACGGAAAGGCTCGTTCTCCCAGTTAAGGGTCATTGCCTTTTTTACTTTTCCTTAAATTATTCTCCTATATTTGCTTCAGCTGCAGGTTTACAATAATATCTTGGGCAGCAATTTTTGTTTTTATTGTAAGAATTGTAAAATACACATTAACACATGAAAAGAGAGTCTGATCCCGCAATAATTACAAGGACGATAAATCTTGAGTGCTGCAGGGACCCAGGAACTTTGGGGGTGTGGGGGAGGTAAGGAATGGTTCTCGGCTGCAAAACCGGGGGGGGGGGGGGTTTCTTACTGCAGACAAGCAAAACAAGGAAAAGAAATATACATATAATTGAGGAGCATCACGAAGAATACCATCCAACCTTCTGCAAGGAGAAATAGAGAGAGCCTCTCTACTCTCCGCCATAATGTAAGATTCTTTCTGTATGGATTACAAAGGCTGATGGAAGGAAAATCCCTGGTCAGAGGCTAGATTCACGCCCGTCAGATTATTGGTGTGATTTATTTGATTCTGCCTCTCGGCTGGCTGCATGCTAAAAAATTTATATGCTTCTGCTAAGGCCCTTCAGTGCAAAAACATTTGACAGGTGCATTACCGTAATAGCTTTTATTCCGTTCTTAAAAAAAAAAACAAAAAAAAACCATGCACTTTTCCTGCATCGGACTCTAGGTGAGCAACTTGAGTTCCTTTATTGATGGGGAGATTTCTGGGAGTAAAATTGTGAAAGACTCCCAAGTCGCATAAAGGAACAGGAGGCAGCGAGTCCAGCTGCCAACCCTCCTATTTCTACTTCTAGACTCAAGAACGTAAGCATTTTGAATACATGGGGTCTGATTAAACCTACAAATGAAATTGTGGGAGCCACTCCGAAATGATAAAAAGCAACCCACCTATAATTTCTCCTCTATCCAACTGAGCAAAGCTGGTAATTTTTCTCTCTTGATGGAAGTATTTTGAGTAGGCTGCTCTTCCCAGCTGTTCCCCAGGATGTTTCTTGTTCAGACAAACCTGCCACAAGGAAGACCACAAGTGCTCACTCTTCACACTACTATTCACCTGTCCAAAGCCAAAACACTCCAAAGGAAAAAGGCTAATATGGAATAAACTGGATTGTTGAATAACTAATAACATGTCCAGAATATATTGAGCCTGGTTAAAAAATGGCTCCCAAAGTGGCTTGTAACATCTGTATTTTCCTGCTGTTGGAAGGACTTTGCAAGGCTGCTGCTCTTTCCTTTGTTGAGCCAGCAAGTCAGATGCCTAAATCGTTTCCCTTCTGTTGTGCCTTTGAACAGCAGTTTATCTCACACACTCACACACATTTGGTCAATATGATTTGAGCTGAAATACTACAGTGTGGTTGGTATATATTCCTCCGCTGATTGAAAAGGGCACCTGGGCCTTTCCCTCTATGGCTTTTCATCATGGAGCGTAGCTAGACAAGGACAGTATGGAAGGGTTGGAGTGGATCTCACACAACACTCAGTCCAGCATTTGAGGCCCACAGAAACCCTCACCCTTTCTTTGTTCTTAACAATTTCAATTAAGGCTGTGATTTTTTTGCGGGGGGGAGTGGGGGAACGGTTGTGCTCTTTCCAAAAAGCCAAGGTAAGGCTCTGTTGGCCTTTCAGGGAGAAAATAAAGAATAAACACATTCAAGATCCCTCCCTCTGCTGCCCAGAAGACATATTTGCAGCTAAGCACAATGTCCTTTTCTGCGTTATATCAGCAGAGTACAGCATGGGGATAGATTGGGCCTACAGCATAGGGGGAAACCGGTCTCCCTTAGATTATAGTGCGATATCTGTTCCATTTCCAAGGACCTAGGGCAAAGGTCCAGAAGGAGAACTTGGATTTCTCCCTCTTCTCCCCCATCATGGGCGACCAAAATGGTGAAGGAGAAACAGGGGAATGGTCCTGTATTCCGTGACCCATCAAAACCGCGCTCGACTAAACCGCGCCCGATTAAACCGCGTCGCTGACATCATCAACAGGGCGACAACAGCGCGGAGACAG